TTTGGCCCCAGTACTCTTTCCTGCCATGGCAGGGGGTCAGACTTGATGATCTGCTCAGGTCCCTGCTGGCCCTACTAACTATGAAACTATATATTCCAGCACGGCCAACAACTGCAAACTTGCTAAGCCATGAGAAACTGGCTGGAGAAGACCTCTTCTAGCACACTCTCTGTACATAGCCCTAGTGGAGCATTTAATGGCTCAGAGCCCAATGATTATCCTAGAAAAACTGTGCTTGCAATTTTACTACAAGAAAGTTAGAAGGAGGAGCTACAGGCCATGTTTTAAACACAGAATACCCAACAACCACAGGTCAGAAGTCAAAAACTCTCCTGTTGAACTGTGCTTGCTTTCTGCCCTTTGTGAAGAGCTGCAAAGTGAAGTCAGAAACATGAAGGCCATGGTGAGGATTTTCTAAATCCCCATTTAAAGGGGATAAGGAATACACATGTACAAACAAATGGAAACCTCTCTCTCTAATTGCAGTTAATGTTGTACATGAGGAGTGGAGTGGAGTGGTTGGCGCGCACATATTCTAGATGAGCCTCCCCATTATGATGTGCTAAACTCTAGGCCATAATGGTACCTCAGCAGTCCAGGTGCTCCACTCCAACAGCCTTTACAAAGCTTCTTTCGTTTCACCAGAAAGGATAGGCCTATTAATACAGCCAGCTGCAAAGAGAAGAAAAAAGGAATTATGCTCACCATTGTGATATCTAATGCCAGGAGGCAATGGTTCTTAACCTTTATACGCTTATGGCACCCCTCAGAAAAAAATGACAGCTCTTAGTTTTCATTTTTTTTTTTTTTTTTGACTACAGAAAAAAAATAGAGTAGTTCATCTGTTGCACAGAACTCAGACCACAGCAGATTTTTTTTTTTTTTTTTTTTACTAAAGAAAAAAAAAAGAGTAGTTTATCTGTTGCACAGAACTCAGACCCCAGCAGATTTTTTTTTTTTTTTTTTACTAAAGAAAAAAAAAAGAGTAGTTTATCTGTTGCACAGAACTCAGACCCCAGCAGATTTTTTTTTTTTTTTTTTACTAAAGAAAAAAAAAAGAGTAGTTTATCTGTTGCACAGAACTCAGACCCCAGCAGATTTTTTTTTTTTTTTTTTACTAAAGAAAAAAAAAAGAGTAGTTTATCTGTTGCACAGAACTCAGACCCCAGCAGATTTTTTTTTTTTTTTTTTTTAAAAACACAACGGATTCCTAATTGAAATCAGAAGGTTTATCTTGCAAATCATGTTGGCACACAACATTGCATGGCACCCTGCAGGATCCATGAAAGCATCTCAAGGCACCCAGTGTCTTGTGGAACCTGGTTGACAATCATTGTTTTACAGGCTACAGAAAGCCAAACTAGATGAACACAGGCCAAGAAACATTAACCAATAATTTCTGAACCAATTGTATGGATGGGCAGAGGAGACTTCCTTCAGAGAGCCAAGTAGCCAGCCCTAGCCATACCCAGAGCATACAGAACTTCTACAAGTACTCACCGATATGGGAGCCATGCAGATGTGGTACAGGCTGGAAGGGATGGTAGGACTGCAGTCTGCGACAGCACTAGCAAGCTTACTGGAAGAATACAGAAGAGAAATAAAACCCAATTACCATTTAAAATATATGAGCTTCATGAAGGAGGAGCAGAGATAGAGGGGCATAAAGGGATCAAATTTACTGTGACTACTTAGATGAGAATTCTGCATTACTTGCCATTCCAGCCTTAGGGGAAGATGCTTCTAATTCCACAGCTATTGTGCTTGCATCAATATATTAGCCATCCAAGTAAAACACATCTCACACACACAAAGCTGCCTGTCAGGGTATGGAGGATGGCATGAAGTAGATTTTTCATAAGGTTTTAAAAACCATATCCCACTAATAGGGAAGATGACATATTACAAAATGCAAGAGGAAGAACCAAGATGAAGGGGCAGGAAGGTTTGATTTTTTAAAAAGCAAAGCTTTAAAAGGTGCTAATCTTTGCCTGGTTTGTCTTAGCAGCACCTGAAGACTGATAACTGCATACAGTGTATTTACAAGTTTCAGTACCACACCAAGGAGTTATTTAGGGTAGACCAAAAGGTGAAAGAGCTAAGAGCAATAGGATTCAGTTAAATTTAGGGGGAACTCAGGAGATAAGTTGCTTCCTAAGTCCTTGGTCTTACATGTTGGGGGGGGGGGGGGGGGGGGGGGGGGAAA